CATCATTGTTACAATCACTGTTAGGCACAACTGGGGATCTCTAAAATTTTTTACACACAGTAAAAATTAATGGCACTGCAATGTTTCTCTGAGCAGACAGTTCACATTATTTTCTAGACCTTGTTCTTATTACACCTGGTAGTGTAGATGGTGTCCTGTCTCAAGGTCACCCATTTTATTCCAGTATTTCAGAAATGGATACCACTTAAGATCAATTTTCTGTTAAAATAAAAAGGTAATAGCCCAATAACTGTAGGTTTACAGATAGAAAGATAGATCAAATATGCTTTAGCTGTGAGAATGGGTGATGTAAGAGAGATGTAAGGCAAAGCTATTACAGGCAAAAAATAGAGAACATAATATAATTTTGGTATTCTATACCACAGACTTTTCTATGGTGAGTGAAGACTAGAGATGGGGGTATCCCCGCACAGGTGGTGGTAACGAGGGTCCAGCCCCATGGGTCAGGACTGTCCACTCACCAACCCATCACAGATGCAGACTGTGCAATTCTACCAATTGATCCGCAGCGCGTTATCCACTCACCACTCCTGGCAGGAGACAGGAGGACAAGCCTCACTGCGAGGTCAAAGAGTGGCAAGCAGATAGCACGCTGCGGATCGATTGGTAGAATTGTGCAGTCTGCATCCACGGAGGATTGGTGAGTGGGCAGTCGGGCCCCATGGGGCTGGAGCCTCGTTAATGCCACCTGTGCGGGGACATTGATATTTGTATACAATGATATTTGTATACAAATACCCCCATGTCTAGTGAAGACAAAGGAAGAAGTAGGAACCTGTGCAAAATATAGTAATTGTGATGATATAATAATTGCTCCTGCAGTAAAACTGTTGCTAGAGTATAGGTGATAACCAGTGTGATCATTCTCTCATATAGTATATATCTCTATATGTGCCTATGTACGTATTACGTAATTTATGTATTTATATGTATTTTTACCCTGCCTTTCTCTTTAAAAGGACCCAAGGTATATACCAAGTTAATGTCTTTATCTTGATTTTTGTAGTTTAGTATACAGAATGCTATGCTACTTTATGTATAATATATGAGCAAGACTAAAGTATATTTAGAGATGGGGGTATTTGTATATGAATACGAATATCCCCGCACAGGTGGAAATAATGAGGCTCCAGCCCCATGGGGCTTGACTGTCCACTCTCAATTTTGCCACTGCCACTGGCTTCCTATTGCACTATTGTCTGCAACTGATTACCCACTCCTGACAGGAGGCCGGATGACAAGCCTCCCTGCCAGGTTGCAGAGTGGCTAATCCATTGTGGAGAATGGCATGATAGGAAGCCTCCACGGAGCCTTGGCAGCAGTGAAATCATGAGTGGACAATAACTCTTGTTATTTCTACCTGTGTGGGGATATTCGTATACGAATAGCCCCATCTCTATATATAATCTTTCTTTTGTCCTTGGAATAAAAAATGATTTGTTGTGTCACTTTCCCTCATTTTACTCCTTAAACACATGGCCAGAACATTGATTGTTCTAGGTTCTTGCAGGGAGGTTGGAATGGGAAGCAGCGGAAGGTAGCATCAAGTACACACAGAGAGACATGTTCTTCCTTGCAAGTTTTTGTTTGCTTCCTCTATGGAATTTGCCCTCTATCCTATAGCATGGACCTCTGGCTACCTGACCTGTAGTTGCTTTAGGATTCAGTAGTGTTTTGTGCCTCCTCTCCTTTGCAGACTAGCTTCAAAGCTGGAAAGTTATGAAAGAAGATTTATAGTCTTTTCAGAAAATGATGATTTAGAGAGCTGTATCTTACTGTTGGCATAAATATTTTGAAGTCCTTGATATTTTTCATTAGACCTTTTATTATGGTAGTTGCAGAATTCCCATTTTGACTTTGAGGTTAACCAATTTTCAGCCATTGACAATTGCTGTGTATGATTTACTTCTTGCTTAATAATGAATTTGTGTTAAGAATAAACTGCCCATGGGAAAAATTGATGAATGCATAGTAATGTCAAAACAGGACATTTAGTCATGTGGTTTTGAAGGTGAATGAGGATGTTTCTGTGCTATGAAGGAAAGGTGACAAAGCAGCATATATAGAAAGGAAGGGTTGGAGAAAGGGTAGCAGGTGGCAGAAATCCTAAATATATTGAATGACATTTTATTAAGCAGTATTGACAGAAGTTATATTTGGGAGAAGTGCTGTTTTAAATGAAAGGACTATGTGAACTTTCTGAACATATTATATCCATCAACTTCTTTCTTTCAAATGCATAAGGACAGATGTTCACCTTCCCAGATTTCAGTGAATAGTTCCCCCTAACCCAAATATAAGGATCCTTTCTTCAACCTGGAGCTAGATAATCAGATAATCATGGTGTTTAACTAAGTTAGTGTTTCTCTTGGAATCAGTTGTGTCAGGACCTGGTCAGAAATCCGGTTTCAAGAAACCTTGTCATAAATTTGATAAAGACTGCTGTTTGAAAAATGCTGTTCCCTATGCTAGGACCTAGCAGAAATCACGTCAGTCTGCATCTGTTTCTACTAAGTTTCCATAATCTGCTTGCATTCATTGTGCAATAGTATTAGTAACAACAATAATAGTTTTAATGCTGGGGTGCCCAATGAATGGAACAGGGAAGGCCTGTCGTCCCAAAATTTTAGAAGTGGTATGCCCCCTGTTCTACTCATGAGCTGACTATGCCTTGGTTGACTATAGTAAAATAATTTTAGTAAACTATATCCCTTTCATGATAATTACTGCTCTTAAGTTAGATCTGCATATAAATTGCAGTTCTCTAGGTGAATCTGTTTCCACCTTTGTTTGAAAATGAAATGAAACCTACATAGGCAATTAGGTATTTATTTTATTTATTTATATTGCAACTGGTATATACCGCCCCATAGCGCTACAAGCACTCTCCGGGCGGTTTACAATTTTTAATTATACAGGCTACACATTGCCCCCCCCCCAGCAAGCTGGGTAATCATTTTACCGACCTCGGAAGGATGGAAGGCTGAGTCAACCTTGAGCCGGCTACCTGGGATTTGAACCCCAGGTCGTGAGCACAGTTTTAGCTGCAGTACAGCGTTTTAACCACTGTGCCACGAGGTATTTAAATCTTAGCAATATATTGCAACTGGTAGCCACATAGTTGGATACTCTTCCCTTTTCTCGTCTTGGGGAGGTTCCCAAGCAAATGGTGCCCCTACAGAATGATTCAGATACTGCCGTTATGTTAGCTCTATTCAGGAGTTAATCAGAAACTGCAACCAGCGCATGAGTAGGAGAGCACTTCTCCATTGTCTCTTTCTCCACCTATGAGTGTGAAGAGAAATTTCTGTTCATGTGGAACATCTTCACATGAGCAAGAACCCTGGTTGTCCAGATTTCTTGCTTTCATAGAGCTTCTGCTCACACTGCAAACAAACAAACAAACAAAAAGCAATGAGGCTGCTTTGGCTGCATGTGGCAAGTGACACCTGAACAGATCTGTTCTTGATATCTCATTACCACATTGCTAGTTTTTAGAAAATTACAGAGAAATATGGTTGTTGCTGTTGTTGTTGTTGATTTTTGGGGGTGTCTGAAGTTCTTGTTTGTAATGATGAAGTAACAGTACTAAACTGGTAGATTAATTATACTTGGATTAATAGTACATGCAAAAACATTTATTAATGAAACATTTCATCAATTTAATTTAACATTACTTTCTTAATTTAAGATAATACACCTTTTCAAAAGCAGTTCCTTAAATTAACAGAAAAGGGTGGTAGTTGTAGTCTTAAAATATAATTTGAGAAACAGCTGCATTGAAACATTGAAACACATTGAAATTCACTGATAATCCTTGTGGTAATGAAATGATTAAAAGAGCTTTCAACTGAGTTGTGGTTATGGGCTGAAAGAATGGTCAGAATGCTTGTTTGATGAGCCCTTTGAAGGGAAGGCAAGAGGAGGAAACATGCAGAAAAAATAGAGATGATATAAAAGGTGCTGAAAATAGGTTGTTTGGAACTGAAATATTTTGAGACCTCTTGCTTATCAGCGTTGTGCTCTGTCTTCTAAATATAGGTTATGGAGATTTTTTCCATTCAGAATAGAGAGGAAGGTGCCCCAAGGAAGAATTTTCTTGAAATATGTTGGCCCTAATGAATAAATATATTTCCAACACATGTAAGAGATTCAGTCTCGTGTATAAGATATAGCAACCCTATATTACAAGAGATAATAATAATAATAATATGACTTAAGAGTAATACATGATGTGTATTTTTTAGAAATACGTTTGCTAACCTGCTCTTGTTGATTCTGAATGAAAGATGAGCAGTGCAGTCCTCTGTATATATAACAGACACAAAGATGATACAGCTATGTTTGTCAAATTAAATTTTAAGAATACAACTACCACCCTTTTCTGTTCTAAATGCACCTTTTCAAAAGCAGTTCCTTAAACTAAGAAAGTAATGCTAAATTTAATTGAGTAAATGTTTCCTTAATAGATGTTTTGAAAGTGAAGTATTCAGAATACAAAAGAAGCACATTATTTATTTATCCAAAGTTCAGGCCAGCCATGACAGTAACAGGGATATTATGAGTAGAGTATCAATGTGAGGAGTCATATCACAAATGCTAAGGTAAGATAAACCCTCAGTGGTTGGCACTGGTTTTCATTAAACTCAGTCAAGATAGAGCACAATACTATTTGAGGTATCTTTGTCTCATCAAAACAGCACAGTATGCTTTTTGAAATATCCAATATTGTTTGATTCTTAGATATGCTATCATATGAGTTTTCCTGCCAATGTTTTGTTTGCTTCTTTGCTTTAGTGTACTATAATAATCCAAGAACCAGTTCATTGACATGTGAACAATGTGTTATAGGCAATCTCTAATGGGTAAAGTTGTTGAAGTCCTGTGGGGTATTGATGGATATTAGCCTGTTACCTTTTAGAACAAAATAGACAAATCCTACATGATGATATTAACTGGTCCATTATATTTCTGTTCAGTTTGTTTCAGATCCATGTGCCAGCAAGCCTTGTCACCATGGCAACTGCAGTAGTAATGGCGATGGCTATCTCTGTGTTTGTAATGAAGGCTACAAAGGTACAGACTGTGAACACTCACTTTACAGCCCTCCACTCTCAGAATGGACTGAGTCAGAGGCATCAAGCCAAAACAGGCTGGTATCAACCACAGTGGAACCCAACATTGTCTTGCCACGAGCCCAAGCAACCATGACATTGCCTACATGGGAGCCGAAAGAAGGTCAGAAAGTTGTGGATTTGAAATGGGATGAAGTGGAGGTAAGGTTTTTTAAATATTCATTTTAACAAAATGTGCATCTTAAGCCAATCATCAGTTCAGAGTTCTTTATTTACTTTGGAGTGCTGAACACTTGTAAAGATCCTATGGCAGCTGATATTCTGAAAGAATTGTTTGGGTTTCTTTTCTTTTCTTTTCTTTTGTACTAATAGTAGTGGTGGTGGTGGTAATATTGATGGCGATAATTATCTGGACATATTTGCTGATGACATCTCGCTCTATATTTTTCTTGTCACCTTACACTAAACAAGCAGTCAATATCCTTGAATGCCACCTGAGCTTGATAATAGACAAAATGAAGGTGAACAAGTTGAATTTAAGCCCTGACAAGAGGGTGTTGCTTGTTACCAATAGGAAGTTAAGGTTAGGGATGCAGTTCAACCTGTCAGGCTTGCAGTTTCCAAGGCCTTCTTGATTCTCTGTGGCCCTGGGATCCCATATTGCAGTGATGACTTTATGTAACTTCACTTAGTATGCTATCTATTATTATTGTTGATTACTGTTTTGACTTGTATATTACCCTGTAGTGCTAGAGCACTTTCTGGGTGGTTTACAACATAATTATGCAAGCAACACTTTGCCACCCAGCAAGCATGGTACTCATTTTACCGGCCTCAAGAGGATGGAAGGCTGTCAGCCTTGAGCTGGTACCTGAACCCATCAGAATCTAAGTCAGGTCATGAGCAGAGGCTTGACTGCAGTACTGCAGTTTAGCCACTGTGGCACGGGGTTCTTAATCTTTCCTGAGTCACTGTGACCTGGCAAGAATTATCCATGCTTTCATTGCATTGTGTCTTAACTATTGCAGTATGTTCTGTCTGGGGCTACTCTTGAAGAGGGTCTGAGATCATCACTTGATGCAACATGCAGCCGTTAGTCCTCTGACTGATACACCATATCAAGATGATATTATCCTGATACGGGAATACTTTATTGAATCCAATCCCATGAACAGGGTGCGGTGTCTAAGGGAAGAGGTATCTCATTATGAACTTGTTCAGATGTTAAGGATTTCAGGAGAGCTTTAGAGCTGCAATCATTTTTTTTTTTGCTTGTGCTGTTTATAAAAAGAGTGTGAAGACACATCTTTTAAAATTAGTTTATGGTGTAGCTTAATTTATTGTGATAGTTCAGCTTTTGTAGACTCAATTGATTTTAATGGCTTTTAAAATTGTATACGGCTTTATTTTATTTTAATTATTCTGTAACAGAATTTGTTTTTACTTGCTTTTACTATATTTTATGATGACTATAAGCTGCCTTGAGTGCTGCTTTGTTGTAGAAAGTTTGGGTAGAAATATAAATAGCAACAACAGCAACATAACATAGCAACAATCCTCAGTATAATTCTGTAACCCAGTTCTCAAAATCCTTCAATCAAACCCACATAATAAAATCACAGAAAGGGAAAAATGTATTTTGAATGGAGAGAAAAGCCTCATATTTTAGGATGTCTGATTCTTATAATCCTAATGGTGTGTGAATATGTTCCGGGACATGTTTATTGCTTCTGTTTTCTTTCTTTTGTCTCGCTTTAAAATCAAGAAATATGTCATAATTACCACCCCACCCCCAATTTCTTAGAATTCTATTTTATTTGCTCCTTTGTATGTAGCAGGATTTTTTTTCTGGATAAATGTTTATACAGTACTGTGCCTTTCATGATGATAAGAGAACTCTACAGAAGTGCCCATGTTCTGGAAAAGCAACAAAACACTTTGAGAAAAGTCACAGGAATACTGCTTATTAGCTGACACTTATACACTGCCACTACACCGGCATTTGGCATGATTAACTGGTCCATGTATAGTTACACTGGTGATATATCAAAATGTCTCCAAGGAAAAGATACTACATTACAAACATACTTTTTAGATCATGTGGTGTTTTTTTCCTTGACACATAATGGTGACTCCATTTTGGTTTGAAAGCTTTCTGTCACAGAAAAAAAATGATAACATTCATCTTTGTTGCTGATATCAGGTCACAAGGCATTGCTGTCTGTGATTTGTTGAAACTGTAGGTGATAGTAAGTGATACTATCAGCTGTAACTTGCTGCAATTCCTGAAATCTCACAAGTTTCATTACCCGATGCTTGAAGGGCTGTGTTGCAATCTTGCAAGAATCTAGCACAATGAACTGTGAAAATACCTTCGTATTTTTTTAAAGTGAGAAGAAAGATGTCTTTAAAAAAGGAATGAGAGTTCTTTTTAGCAGAAATATATTAATGTATAAAATAATTAAGTATTAATATTTAGTAAAAAGGTGTAACATAATAGTTTTCCTAGGGGACCACCGTAGAAGAGGAAGGCTTAAATACTGAAGCTAGTACCTTGCCAGAAGTTTCTGTATGTGCAGTTAACATTGCATAATTAGTTGTACTATTTTGAAATACATTTGATATTTGATCGCTCATGCAACTGATTGTTCATTTGGTTGTGTAACCAGTCATACAGCCAGTCTCATAACAGACTGTTCACCAAGCAGTGCAACTGCATGTGCAATATTGGTTGTGTCTGTGGAATTCCTTAACAGAATAATGGCTTCTGTATCCTTGCTCTCCAACTCTGCTGTTTTTAGGACACGACTACATGACTAAACAACAACAAAAATAGATTCTGTTTACAATTTTTAAAATCTCTACATGTGAATTGCATTTTTGCAGATAAGCTCATTTAGTTTGGACCTTAGGCTAGCCTTAGAAAACCCTTGTCTCTCACAGCTCCCGTATTTGATATGTACCATTGGCACTGCTGGATGATGCTGATGGGAGATGTAGACAAAAATATCTAAAGTGTCAAAGGTTCCTTTTTGGGCATGAAAACAATGTTATATAATTTCTCCTGGCAATTTCCCCCCTTCATTTTCAGCTTTTCCATATATTATTTTTACTACTTTTTAGACATACTGGTTTTGTGGAATGTCTCAATTAATGTTCATTGTTGGTTTTAGATTATTCCTGATGTGGCTTGTGGAAATGCCAGCTCCAATAATTCTGGTGGGGGTCGCCTTATTTCTTTTGAAGCACCACAGAATACATCAATAAAGTAAGAATTGTCTTATTCTGCAGTAATTATATAGATATGTTTCACATGAATATTCTGGTTGATTTCATCATGACAACTTTTTTCCAAGGTGTGATAAGGAAGCCTTACGAAATTCCAGAGGGAAAGCCTAATGTACCTTCTGTGGCACTAACCGTAGGAGAACCTTATTAGCTCTTTCTAAAATGTATTGGGTTATTCCCATTAGGCTTTTTAAATATTCTTATCAAACTTTTAGAAAACAAACCCTTGAGGATGTTTTGTAGTGTTCAGTTGCTGGTAAATATATTTGCAATCAGTGGTGTGAATTTTCTGCTTCAGTGAATACTTTGTGGAGAGTTCTACTATAATCCACTGAAATGCAGCAGTAGCTCTTTGGAAGAGAATTAAAAGTGTCTCACCAAACTACACATCCCAGGATTTCTATAGAGCAGCCTTAGCAATTGTAAATTGTATTAAGTACTATAGCTGTGTACTATAGTACTCAATAGTTGTACTTCCTCTCAGTCTCACTTTTTTCCTCATTCCTATTTTTAAAATCTCGAGTCCTCTCTCCTGAATTTATAAAAAATATGCCCACATGTTGTTAAGTACCAGCTGAACAAAATCCTCAATCATCCATGTTGGCAGGATATGGTTGGTAGAGCCATTCCTGGCATGCAATAATGTTGTACCCCTTTGTTATGCAATTGCTGAAAATGAGAAACCTAACAAAAATATGCAAACACTGATTCATAGCCACATACATGGTTGGATGCACTCAAAGGCAGACTGTTATGAGCTAAAGATAAAAAAGCTTCTGCCCAAATGGGTGAATTTGACTGTTTCACTTTCTCCCACATTTGAATGCCTTTAATTTCAAAATTTCCCCATCAAATTTATGAGGAAAACGTCAGAATTTTGCAGGTCCTTATTAAAACATGAATGAAATTCTAACCAATCCTTAATTTTAACACTTGGAAAATCCAGGTTAGCCACTGGTTCCTTGTCCTGGTTTGTTCCTCACCCCCAGAAAATATGTCCTTTGTGGACAGGGAGATAACGGGTAGTTCCACAAAGGAGGTGGGTTTGCTGTTCTGGCCTGAAAATGTTAAACTGTTACTTCCAGTCCAGGATTATGTGGTTTGTAGTAATGCAGACAAGGGAGAATTTGCGGGAATGAATCAAGCTCCATGATCTCCTGCAGGAAGTCACACTTCTCATGTCACTTGCCACCAAGGAAAGATTGTGTGTTTTCTCACACAAGAGAGCACTCCGCTACCTGTTTGCTCCCTCCCCTCAAGGTGATTTTTTTATACCTCAAGGAAGGTGTATGGCAGGGTAGGTAACATTGGTCCCACAGATATGTTGATGTGCAGCTCCATTGCCTACAACTAGTGGGAATTGTAGCCCCCAAACATTTGGAAGGCCAAAGATTACTAGCCAATGAAAGTGGAAGTAAAGGTGGAGGCAGGGTGCAATGTTGGACTCAGTTCAAACAGGCCACATGCCACTTGAATTGAGACTGATGTCTTTGAGCAAGTATCCTCATTTTGAACACCTGCTTCCTCTTCCATCTTTGGAATAGAACCTTTTGAAATATCAATCCACTTGTGTATGTATATGTTGTTGTGTAAGAAGTAGCAGAGAAGGTGGGTTGAAAGAGGAACAAGTATTTATAAAGACCCGTTTGGTTTGAAGAAGCTAAGAGGTTAGATGCTGCTGCTATTAGTTTGGGAAGTGAAGGGTGACCAAGAGTATAGATGCTATTTGAAGAAGCATGAATTTGACCTTCATGGGAGAAATAGGAACAAAAATTATGAGCACTATACAAATGCATTAAACTCTTACATATTTGAACTTGAACTAGTTAAATCTCTGGTTTTAATCTACTGTGACTGATTGACTGAAGATACATTGCAAAAGTCAGTATTTTGGAAACATGAGAACATTACGTTGTGAGGTTCAGAAAACAACTAAATATTCACTTAACTGGAGATTTGCGGGAAAATGTGGGTAACATTTAGCAATCTTTTCCTTCTCTTTGGCTCCTTTGTCCATATTTCCCTATATCTGGAGATCGTCAACCTGTTTCCAATTTCCTAACAGTAGTATGTGTACAGTACAGTTCTTCAGTGACAAACCTGATACGACTTTTCTCCCCAGTATCTTCCCTCCTTTCAGCTCCTTGCTTTCTGTTTTGTACCATCCTCATTCACCCTTCTTTGGCTCCTTTTTGTCTCAGGTTTCAGAGGGTCAACTTACATCCTCTATTATTCATTCATACTTAAAATGGTTGACTACTTTGCAACTAGTATCCTTTTCTCTCTCCCTATTGTCTACCTTTCTCTTAACTCCTTAACCTAAACTCAACCCTGCTTCTGTCTTTTCACCAATGCTAGTTTTCTCTTTATTGTTACATTTGTTTTGCATGCTTCTGAAAAGGAGCTGAGGGTAATGAACATTATTTTTATCACACCTCTATTTTGCCCTTGTGCCTTATTGTAAGATTTATTTTACTTGCTTCTTAATATAGCTGAGTTAAATGTGAAGTAGTTTCCCCCATCCCTATTTTGTCCTTACAACGATGCTGTGAAGTAAATGGGAATAAGAGTGAATTATTAGCTCAGAGTCTCTAAGGACTTTCATAGCTGAATAAGGATGTGAAATTGGACCAATGTTACCTACTAGCACTCTAAACTTCGCACCACACTGGGTCGTTCTTGACCCTTCCTTCTGTACAAGCTTCTGTCAGTTTAAACTAATATTTCACTTCTTTTGCAGACATTCTACTTTCAGCCACAAAGTATTGTTGTGGCATTCAATAATGTTGAAACATTTCATGATGTCACATAGGGTCAACTCCATTACTAGCTCAGTTATTTTGACTTAACATAGGAAGGTGTGATCCAGTCCTCCATATATCTGACAGTTTCCCTAGTTTACAAGTTTTAATAGCAAAATCCACCTCCATATTCTTCTAATATACAGGTATACCTTGGTTTTCGAATGCCTTGGTTAATGTAATTTTTGGTTTATGAAAGAAAATCCATTGAAAATAATGCCTCAGTTTATGAGTTTTTTTCATCATACAAAGCAAGTTTCCCCAGGATGCATTGTGCCTGGGAGGTTCATAGCGCCACCCCCGTGCATGCGTTCCTATGGGAAACCGCGTTTTGGTTTGCACATTTTTCCCAATACAAAACGTCCTGGAGAACGCATTAAATTCATAAACCAAGGTATGCCTGTATTCTGGAAACCTCAAAATATAATGAGTACCCCGAAGTAAGAATCATTGTGGCCAATAGGAATTACTACCAGATAAACACATTTTTCTTGCAATTTATACAGTACAGCCAACCCTCGACTTACGAACGTCCCTAGATACGAACTGTTTGATTTAAGAACAGCTCCATTGGCAAAAATTGGCATCGACTTGCAAAAGGAGCTCGACCTACGAACGAGGTCGAGGCTCTGTTCACAACTCAATACCATTTTTTGGGAACGGAATCGTTCGTAAATGGCTCCCTGCAAAAAGGCAGGGAGAAAGGACTGGAAATTTGAATTTCCCGCCCTTTCTCTCTGCCTTTTTGCCTTCGGAGCTCTCAAAGGGCTTTCCGCCAGACATTGGAGGAAGCCCTTTAAGCACTCCGAAGGCACCAATTACGGTGGCAGGGATCCCCAGGGAGGTCTCTTATGGTGGCTGGGAGTCCCTGCTGCCGCGATTGGCACCTTCGGAGGTCTCAAAGGCCTTTCTCCCCAACATTGGAGGAAGCCCTTTAACAGCTCTGAAGCCAAAAAGGCAGGGAGAAAGGGCGGGAAATTGGAATTTCCAGCACTTTCTCCCTGTCTTTTTGCCTTTTGAAATGCTGGAATGAATTAATTCAGTTCCCATGCATTTCAATGGGAAATGGTTCTTCAACTTACAAACTTTTCAATGTACGAACACCGTTCCAAAATGGATTAAGTTTGTAAGTCGAGGTACCACTGTACTCACTTTTTCTTTTCCCTATCCTGTTTGATGGTTCAGCTGTTGGAAGAAATGATGTTGTACTAGTAGTTTTAGGTCAGTATCCTCCTGAGTTTCTGCCAGGTAGAAAGTCCAAGCATAGGAACAAGGATCACAGTTCTCATAACAGTGTTGCTATTGCAAAACTGATGATCTCGATAAAGAAAACCCACCTTCTAGTTGTTCAGTGGTGGTATCTGAGCAAGCTATGTCACTATTCTGGCAGGAACTGCAGTTCAGTGGAAGCTCATTAGGGTACAGACTATGGCATCAAATTAGCCATCTTTCAGACCTGAATCAGTGATCATGTTTGCCCTTTTGTTTGTGGTGTTCTTTTGACTGATGTATGCTAAGATTTTTTTCAAAGCATGTTCTTCCATTCAGTGTGCTTAACATTTTAATTTCCTTTTTCTCTTTTAGTATAAGGCAAGATGCCACAGCTTCTCTTATCTTGTTGTGGAAGGTAACAACAGACAGATTTAAACAGTGCTCACTTATAGATGCCACAAGTGTAACTCTTCTCCAAGCAATGGGTGGACTTGTCCTGACGGAGGAAATGCTTTTGTTAGGAAACAACTATTTCATTGGTGAGTTTTGGTAACAGTAAAACCATATATATATCATTCTTCAACCCAGGGCATCTAAATTGGCTTTCTATAATGAATACTGCAGTGCTCATAAAAATTAATAACATATGATATGAGCAGTTGTTTATAGAGTAGAGGAAACTACAAGATAACAAGTAGATTACCTTTTCCATACATTCCTAGTAAAACCCTGAGAGATTCAAAAGAGCTCTTACTTGTTCTGCGACCAGTAATATTTTAGGTAGAATTCTGAATGCAGTCCTTTTCAGTGGGAATATTCATTCATCACAACACTTTTTTCCCATGTGGTTTGAGTGGTAGAAAAAGTGTTCATATTTGATTCCTTGTTGAAAATACATTGGTTTATATAGTTTTTCCCTGCCAAAATGGGTAAAACCTGACTATTTCTGCTTCTGAAAGTCAGGGTAGATGATATTTTATCACATTTTTTTGCAGAGGCACTTCCCTGAGTAGTGGAAGACATTTATTTATCATACGCACATGATTTCATCCAAATCATTTATTGTGCATTAACGTGTTTTGTTTTGTGACTGGGTATAAACATTAAACAAAGAAGGTAAACAACAACTTACTTTTGTTGCTGAGATATGTCTCTGATAGCCCCATTGTTGAAAGAAAAAATGATCAATTATTGAGAATACTACGTGTCACAGTTTCCAACTGGACTGACCCCATTGGTGAGAGTGTTATAATAGGTACCGTGTTTCCCCGAAAATAAGACAGGGTCTTATATTAATTTTTGCTCCAAAAATGTATTAGGGTTTATTTACAGGGGATGTTTTATTTTTTCATGTCCAGGAATGTACATTTATTCAGATACAGTAATGTCATCTTCTGGTTGCTTCACAATGGTAGAGGGCAGGGTTTCACTTAAGTGGAGCTTATTTTTGGGGTAGGGTTTATATTACGAGCATCCTGAAAAATCATACTAGGGCTTATTTTCAGGGAAACAGGGTAACACTTTACAATGCTGATTGTAGAAGGACTTCCCTGTGAAACCTCTCTTGCCATCTGCAGACCAAGGTCTTCAGTATCCTAGAATCCTTGAACTTTCAGGTATCTAGAATTATTATTTTAATCAAGAATCTAAAAGAGTTCTGCTCGTGTTGTGTGTGCAACTTTCTTTTGATCAGGACTTACATGTTAAGTGAATGAAGTTTAAAGAATTTCTTTAATATTGTATATTAGATCTCCTACTGGGACACATATTTCGACCACCTGCCAGTAAGAATCAAAGTTAAATTAGAAGCCAGTTAATAATAAATCTGCATGTTTTTCTTTCGTTCTCAAAGAAAATTTATGGGGTCACGAAGAGTCGGACACGACTTAACGACTAAACAACAACAAAACATATGAATTTTGGAGTTGGAATATTTTTGTTAAGAGGATGTATATGTCTGAATACAGAAGCTGATGTTAAGAAATATGGAAGGTGCCTTTCATATTGTGCTTGTGTTTGAGCTTGGGGGAAGAACCACCTGATCCATCAGAAAACACTTTGCTGGATAAGAAAGCTTCTGTGATCCTACATGTTTCCTCTTATACCATTTTCTCCTATGTAAATCTGAAATGAGACACATATTGTGATGTAGTGGAGAAACTAGGGCCGTAACTACGTGCTCGGAAAAAATTGAGTGGAGTTCACAGCAGCTACTGTCATACACATGACAGAACCACCACTGCGGTTTTAAATTGGTTTTAAATTGGTGCCATTACATTTTAAAACGATATTAGGGCTTCTGTCACTGGCTGGCCACTGCTGGGATGCTTCCTTGCTACTGACAGCACTGGGTTGGGACAGCAGGGTCTTCATCTGCTTGCCGGAGTTATCCCTTGGACAAAAACAGGATTGTTGCCTAGCCAGTGTTGGGAAGCTTCCTGGGTACGTTAGCACTGGCTGGCCATCAATGTTGATCTTGCAGGGGTGGAGCGGGGGACTCTCAACTGCTATCCTGACACCAGTACTATCAGTAGCTGGGAAGTTTCCCAGCACTAGCTGGCTGGTATCTGAGGAATCACATTAAAACAAGATATGTTTTTCAAGTGGTTTGGTGCTAGTGTGAATATAACCCACAGTAATATTTAGTTCCTGCCTAGGACTCAGGAGACCTGGGTTTGAATCCCCACTTGGCCATGAAAACTGGGAGTTTGTGGTACTGGTAATCCACTTCTTAAATATGTCACTTGCCTTGAAAGCCTGATAAATGTCAATGTAAATTGGCTTCAACTTGACATCATACAACAATAATGTGAAAATCCACCGAATAGTTGAAAGGCTTATTTACTCTAGCCACAGCTTGAAGCATTCTCCATTGAAAGGTTACACTCAGTGACTAAATAAACAAAACAAGTTTTTGCATGTATTATTTTAAGATGTGTGAAAGACAGAAGTAGTTTGGTGTGGAGACATTTTCCGTATGCTCATAGGTTTAATTAAATCAGGATTTGTGGGACAGATGGTTTGCTGTAACTGGAACGTGAAATTGAAGTTGTGGTAATAATAGTACTTACTTGTTGCTTTTCCTGAAACATTTCCCCTCCCCATAACGAACAGTGACTTGCTCAGTGATTTGTCATCACTGAAACATGGCCTCAGAAACAGCAAAAGCAAGGTATAATACCTGTTTTGGCTCTTAGGAGTTCTGGAAGGAATAAAAATGAGAAAAGCTCACCTTTGTAAGTAAGTAAGTGAGTGAGTGAGTGAGTGAGTGAG